TGAAACTGATCAGTTTCAGCAGCGGCTGAATCTGGATGCCAGTTCCGACTTACATACAGATTCAACTTAAGAACAAACCTACAGTCCCTATCTTGTATGTAACCCGGGGACTGCCTGTACATCCACTCAAGTACATTATGGTTAGGGAAGAGTAAACAGTGGGATAGGGACCCTTTAAATATCCTGCAGCAAACAGATGCTGAAACTGATCAGTTTCAGCAGCGGCTGAATCTGGATGCCAGTTCCGACTTACATACAGATTCAACTTAAGAACAAACCTACAGTCCCTATCTTGTATGTAACCCGGGGACTGCCTGTACATCCACTCAAGTACATTATGGTTAGGGAAGAGTAAACAGTGGGATAGGGACCCTTTAAATATCCTGCAGCAAACAGATGCTCTCTTTTTAGGGGTAACACCCTCTTTTTTTTTTCTGCATCAGTAATACGCCCCAGCTAGTCAATTTGTTTGTAAAGCTAATGACAGAACTACTCCATCATCTAGCATATGCTGTTTTATGTTTTCGGGTGCTCCTTGCTGAGCTGTCTGCCTCAGAGTTTTACTGAAAGATTGTTTTTAGATGTGAGGAATTCTGCCATCTGAGATCTGCTCACTTGAATACTATCCTATATTCTGCACCCTTAAATCACTACTAGTAGTGATTTATCTTCTTACCAGAACGCATTTGTGCATGAAATGAGAACTCTTAATTTAGCTGTTTGATTCATTAAGGTGTATGTGTGATAAAACGAAGAGTTAATGGACAAGAACAAGACAGCATGTCCTGTGAAAACCATTGAGCCTCTAGAGGACGCATTTTGAGTTAGTAATGAAAGAGGTTACAGTGAAGTGGTGTTTTTTTTTTTAACTTCTCTCCAAAAGGACTTTGAAAGCTTCTGAGACATGCTTTAGGACTAATCCTAATAGCCCAGGTGGGGGAGCACTTGTGCCACAATGTCCCCAAATTAGAGATGTGAAAACCATCTAAAATAGTTAATCTGTTAAGCAATTTAACTGGTTAACTACTGGCTGCAGGTGGCAGGGGCTGCTCTGGTGCTGCTAGCCCACCCTCTGGTTAACCAGTTACCCAGTAAGCATGCCAGTAAGGTTAATGTTTTCTGGGTAACAGGCTTACTGTTTACTTCTACATCCCTGCCACAAATTCATGCATATTGAGTTTCCATCCCATGTATGTTAGCTCTCCCTGGGGAAATTTTTTCTTTCTTTCACTGTCCTCTAAATAGCATCAGCTCATTGGGTCTAGTTTGCCACTCAAATTTTAATTCTTTCATCCCAATCTTTTAACTTTACAAGATGCTGCTGATTCCCTCATCCCCATGCTCATGTTGTGATACCTGCACCTCTTAGAATGTTGAAAGGGAAATATTTAATAGCATCAATTCTTCCCGCTAATGCTGCTGTGTTTGAGGGGCTTTGTGGCCTTACTTTCCCCTCCCCACTAGACAAAAAGACCAGTGTTTTGCTCTACCTATTTATCTGGGCAAAACTTCTACTCACCCTGGGTAAACAGAATTTTGAAACCCTACACTCCAATACATTTTGATTTAAGGAAATAAATGTTCCCCTACCTCTAGGCTAGCAATTTATTACTTTAAAGTTGTCCTTCACGAGAGCCTTTCAAGATGAGCATGTCAGAGTAGTTTCTTACATGAAATCACAAAACCAGGCAGTGCAATTCTATGTGGTCATTTCCAAAAAAGGAACTGCATGTGTATATTTAAGTTTAATTGCACTGACTCACAGCACTTTGCCTCAGAATGATACTGTACTGAGTCATTCTTGAAGCATTCCTGGAATAGGCAAGAACAGGGCAGGATGACAGAACATTTAGTGGAAGTTTTAAAATTTTTGACCATATGCTGAGAATTAACTCATACATGTATGTAGAACTTCATAATACTCTCCTTATAGTCGCTTCTGAACAAATTTTGTTCTTTTGAAGAGTAGAATGTTTGTGTGTCTTTTTTTTTTTTTTAAACTGTTACTGCTCAGTCTACCTGAATGTCCAACTTGGTTCATCCTGACTCCTCTTCAATAACTAAAATTTGTCCAAACATAATTTTCCTAACAATTCTGTTGCATCAACTGAAGTGTTGGCTTTACTGTGCTAACAGAAAAAGCAAATGGTAAAAATATCTTTTATTTGCTGAAGTAACCAGTGAGTAGATTTGTTGAATTAAAAGGTAATTTTACAAAGGCTTTCTTTCCATAAACACACTTCAGTGTGGCATTAACTTTTTGCACATAAGATGAAATTTATGCAAATGGCAAATACTCTGTTTAATGAAGCTTCAGTGAAAACTTAAAACACCTATGATAATCCATTTGCATTATTTTTAGAGTAGTCTTGAAGTCTGACAAAGGAAAGATATTGAAGTTTTAATTTTTAAGTGGCCTTGTATCCATTTTGATACTAAATTCCATTGTCTTTTTCTGACAGGGTCGAGATGCACTGGAATGGGTGATTGGCAAACTAAACATAGAGTTTGAGGAACTAACATCATCCACACGGGAGAGCATGAAATCTGGAATGGCAGCAGCATCAGCAGAGAACTGAAACAGCAAAGCACCAAGGAATTGTGACAGAACAACTTTTTATCACAGAACTTTATTTCCTTAGGTCTCTTCTCTATGGCTGATACTCCACAGTCTTTTTTGTATATGTTTTAGGAATGAAGTTATTTTTCTAGATCTCTTTCTAGCCTCCATATCACCTTGTCTGATGAATGAAGACTAATATGAGCTCTCATTTCCCCCACCCCCTTTTTTTATTTAAATAACCCCATGTTATGTAGCTAACTGAAACACAGTCTTTCTGGCAGTTCTTTAAAAATGCCAAAAATGTGCCCTTTTTATAAAGGCGGTAACCAGTAAGGGTCTTCTACTTTATACCATCTGGGTTTTTTGTGCTCATAGGTTTTTTTTATAAGTGTGTATTTATTAAGAACCTCTTTAGAGAGCAGCTGCTACCTTTTTGTGAAGGCAGCTGGGTACAAAAGCACTGAACCTATTAGTCTTTGCTACCTAGGTGGAATAGTGAAGAGTAAGTGACACATACTGTAAAGTAACCTGAAGAAATACCTCATCTGAAAAAGCTAGCTCTTGCACGGTGATACTGATTCATGCAGTGTCTGAACATGATACAGATGTGATTTTTGTCATGGCTTGTTGCATCCAGATGTAGTGAGAATGTAGATTTTTAGTTAGACTTTGGGAATAGAATATATTTATTTTTGTAATATTTATTCACCATCTAGTCTTTCTCCTACTTCCCCCCTCTTCTGGAACAGTAGCTGATACCTCTGTGGAAAGCATCGTAAAAATCTTGACTTTTAAATGCAACTTTTAACGAGAGGACTTGAATGAAGAGTATTTTTGTTGCTTCAGATAGAATCACTTTCACAACGGTTAAGTGTTACTTACACCACTAACAGATATCAAATTTAGAATCTGCAGCAAACTTAGATGTGGTGTAAAAGTTTAGGAACACCAAAAAAGATTACAGAATCTGCTTTCACTAGTCCTCTTCCTCCCCCTCTGCCCCAGAGCTTTCTATGAACTTTCAGATGTTCTTTGTGCTTGCCTTTTATTTACATTTTAACTATTTTTGCCACCTTGATATGAATAGTAATCATTTTTAGGCTCATTAAAATATTTCTGGTCATAGTTCTTCATTGTCTGGGAAAACAAGATTACTAGATTTTTTTTTTTTTTTTTTTTTGCAACATCTATAGAGTAGAATATTTGCAGAAAACCACAAATTGGATTGCTTTCTAAAAAGTATGAAATCCAAAATATTTAAAAAGGTACTGGCCTTTCTTTGAAGTGGTTACAGAGATGAGTGTTTGCAAGTAGCACAAACTTCGTTTGCAGCCTTCATCCATTGATACATTTTTGGTATGCCGATGACAATTTTTTTTGTGCATATAAAGGTTAAAGTCTGTTGCAAAGATTTGATTCCTCTTGCAAACAGAACATAAGTGGTTGAAATAATTTTGAATTAAAATTCTAAATATTTTTGAATTGTAAAAAATAAACGCCTGTTTCATAACTTGTTTTGCTTTGGGAGCTTTAAAACACAATGCTAGTTTAGAGGAAACACACCAAACACCTGGCACAATTATTTTACTAGTTGTAGAAACACTAAGCTGTACTGATAGCTACATTTTTCTTTTTTGAAAAGAAAAGCAAGTATGCTTTCATACACAGTAATGGTTTCATTTTTAAAACAAATTTGGTTGAATGATAGGACTTAAATCTAAGCTTTCAAAAATCAAGTCTGTGACATAAGTATTACTTTGTCTTCATATGGACTTCAGGTGTTTCCTTTATGAAACAGACACTTATTCAGAACTAAGGCCTGTGAGTATATTGTCTAAAGGATGACTTGCATCACCTACATTTTAGCTGCAAGTCATTTCATGTCTAAGGGTTACATGGTGCCCTTTCCTGGGGGGAAAATTTGCAGAAAAGTCTAGTTGGGGGAAGTTGTAGTAGTAACATTCTAACACATGCCTGCTATGGGTGATGTTAAATGCCCAGATATGTTTGTGCTGCAATAAAATACCAATGGCTGGCCTGTGCCAGCTGAATCAGGCTCACAGAGCTATAAAACTGTAATATAGACATCCAGGATGTGAAAGTGGGCAAGTCTCACAGTTGGGGCTCCAGTCTGTGCCCTGAAGTCTATAACTCTGAGCCTGATCTTGGATGACAAGGGCAAGCTGGCCCTTGGGTTTTTATTGCAGTGTTAGACATTCCTCCAGATCTGTCAAACTTTTAGCCCCTTGTATTGTGCTTTAATGCTACTGATCCATTGTGCATGATTTATTGTTGCTTTGGGTAGCTTTGAAATCGCCATGCAGGTACTAAAACACAACTGTAACTACTCCAGTAGCATTTGCTACTTAGCACCTTCTGGCCTTATATGTGACTGCTTCTGTTCTACCTCCTTAGGAGCCCTGTAGGACAGCAAGGGGTGCTGCCGCTTGCAGTCCTCATTCAGACACAAATTACAAAATGCAATCCTTGGGTGGATCCTGTCACTAATCTGGGTGCCTCAAACATGCTTCTGTAGAGATATTTTTGGTCACACTCAGGCCCATGTCTGTCCCCATTGTAGCTCCTGAGTTGCTTTCTCCTAACTTCCAAGTGGCCCAGCCCACTCCTCCACTCCATGTCCTCTGACCACAGGTGTCCCCCTCCCCCTGTTCTTCCTGGTCACTAGTTGCTCTGGGCTTTGGCTGACCACCTTTGCCTGGAAGACCATAACTTGATTTGTAGCTACATTGGGTGGGAGGGAAGTTAATCCTACCTGCTTCTTTGCTGTTGTCCCAAGAGAGCTGCTTAAGAGCTTTGGGAATGTCTGCCACTTAATGCCCTATTCTATTGACTAAGGTGACTTGCTCCTGCTTAGTCTGAAAATTATTCAAGTGAGGGAGGGCCCTCTGCTTTAAATCCTTTGCAAAGAAGTCAGTTGCATCCACTCTTTTTTGCTAGGCATAGCCTCTTGCACTGTCCTTTCTGGGGTCTAGTATCACTCCGAATGCATGGATCCACCCTTGGGACCACTGAATGGTAATCACACTCTACTTTGTTCTTGTCTGCCTTAACAGCTGTTCATCAGGCAGAGTGTTACTTGGGATTTATCTTAACTTGTGTTGGGAAGCTCATCTTCATGTCAATCATCTGGTTCAAGGTTTCTGCTTTAAGATTTGTCATAACTGTTTTTCTGGGATCCTCTGTTCTCATGAACAGCACTGCTTCAGGTATAGGCATGAGCCTTTGCACAGTCTGCCCTTTCATCCTGTTCCTTTTTCTGGTCATTGCAGTACAGGTAGTCCCCGAGTTACGCGGATTCGACTTGTCGGATCCGCAGTTACGAACGGGGATTTTCTCGCCCCGGAGGACTCGAGCGGCGGGACCACGCGGCTGAATCTGGATGCCAGTTCCAACTTACATACAGATTCAACTTAAGAACAAACCTACAGTCCCTATCTTGTACGTAACCCGGGGACTGCCTGTAGTTCTGCAGAGCCTCATGGGGATTTTCACTAGCCAGAGTTGTGTGTGTTCTGTCTTGCACAAGAGTTCCATCAGGATTTGTGGTACTCAAGAAACCCTCTTGCTGCATATGGTGTGGATGGATACAATATATCTTTTCTCACCCTTTGAATAAAAGAGTTCTCCTCTGGATATTTTTGTGTTTAAATCTCACATTTTCATTCTAATCTTGCACTAATGCAATTGTTCTGTAATTGGGACCTTTCACTGGGCTGGTTCCCTCCTATGTGGGGTACTTAAGCCTAATTCCTCAAAAATTGAGCTGAAAAACCCTCCAGCACTAGTGTGGGCTCCAGCACTGCGGAGAGTGACCAGGTGAAAGGTGGGAGGAAAAAGCTTCCGAAGTAGGGCAGAGTTTAAAACAAACTAGGACGACCTAATCTATACAGCACATTTTGGCTTTGGGAGGTGAAGCCAAAAATACCACTGCTGAGCCAAGTGTTCTTTTTCTCATTAAAGGGCAGTAGGTGTAGATTTAGACAGGGAATCCTTTGATATAGCATTATAAGGGTCAAAAGAAAGGATGGCAAAGAATTAAGGGGGTTTGGTTATTTTACTGCTCAGCCTTAACTCTAATAAAGCTATTGTCAATACAGATCTTACCCATGTTCTTATCTTTAAATAAGTAAGATTGGAAGCAAAGGTCTAATGCCATCTCTAAATCCTACCTCAAAGTTCCCCTTTGTTTCTGAATTATCTCAGATGCCAAGGATGTCTCTCCTTAAAGCAGCAGTACTGGCATTAACAGAGAATTTTGGAAATCACAGTTGTAATTAATATTTAATATCCTGTTCTCCATTGTATCTGTGTAACATTCTCTTGTCTGCATTGTACTCTCCCCTACAGACTCCGCTGACTCACTATTGCAGCTTTATAATCTTCTGTGTGGGGGTAGAGGATCGCAGGCGTTCTAGTGCTAGCGGCATTCTATAGGAAGACCCACAATAATGAAGAAATGCCAAGGCTTACTGTAAACAGAGCCTGAGCCTGCTGCATGTAGCTGTTATAGTTGCTTAGGTAACCAGAAATAATTCAGAAATGCTGTAGCCGTCTCTTGAGAATTACTGATATGAACTGTGTTCAGCTTTATAGTTTATAAAATGGAATACTGTACATTCAGATATTAGCTGTGATACATTAACCAAGACCTCTCCCTTACGTGCATTTAATCTTTACACATTAGACAATACTTAGAGTTTAAGTTGAAGGTAACATGATGGTTACAGGGGAGGATAATGGCTGTGTCAACTCTTCCCTGTTCTCCTACTCTCCCCAACATCTCAAGCCCTACATGGATACCAGACCTGCATCTGTAAAAATGAGCTGCAGCTATCTGCATCCACATCTGCAAATTTGCAAAGCTCTAACAATGTCCTCTCAGTTCAGACTGTAAGCTCCTCAAACTGATTCTCTGCCCTATTTGTAATGTAAGGTGCCATATACATCTATGGCATTAAGTAATTACACTATCTACTAAAAATATTTACTGTGTGTAGTTTTCTTTGTATGTGCAGAAAAGGCAGGGCTAGTGCCAGATCCTCAGGCCCTGAACAATGTGTGTGGGAGGGAAGGGGGCTTGGCTTTGGGCCCCCTGGAACAGGCAAGCCTCATACAGAAAGGGCAGGGCTAGGGGCACCCCAGGCCTTAGTGCTGCTTAGACAGCACCTTGTGGGGCTCTAGCCGTGATTTAAGGGGCCCAGAGCCCTGGCCCCTTCTAAATTGTGAGGCCTGGGCTAACTGTCCTTTGCCCCTGCTAGCAGCCCTGTGC